TCCCGTGACTGAAATGGTGTCTGTGTAGATTTCTCCCGTTCCTGGTTTCGCGCGACAACGTTGCGCAGCTACTTATTAATAAATAATATCGATGACTATATCAGGGAACCTATAAATATAACACTTGCTTATTTGATATAGAGCCGTTTATAATAGTGAACAGATTCCCACATGTTTTTCCTTTGAGTAAATAAAACATCTCATTTAGCAATAATTATATGAAACATTTTTGTGTTACGCGCTACCTTAAGAGTACCACTAAATTCTGCTCATCCAGTCAAATTGGTAGAAGTCTATGTCGTTGAGCATGGTTTTAACGTCAAAAGCATTTTTTCTTTTTTTACAATAGTAACAGAATGAATATTTATGTGTAGAAGTTTATTATAGTGCAACTAGCAAAATAGTAATTTATCATCAAAGACTACAAAGGCAGGAAATGCCGTTAAGACGGCTCTTAATAAGTATAAATCAAAATCGGCCAAAATGGGATTGCTAATTGAATATTTATCGTTATGTAAGAGATTGTTATCAAAATGAAATTTATAAAGGGACCTTTTATTCATTTTCTTGCTCTTTGAATTTTTGATCGCTTATCTGTTTTATTATATAACATTTGATCTCATTCTTTGATTTCAATATTTGGGGCTGTAAAATTAGTAAAAGTTATATGTTTTATAAAATAGGAATTTTTAAATAGCACTTTATTTCAAAGTCAACAAATGAGTGGCGAATTTTGAAATTAAATGAGAGTTCGAAAAATCTTATTTGTAATTCAAAATTTCAAAATCAAAGGATGAAATGGAGATCACATAAATAGGCTTTCCAACGACAAAAATCATCATTTCAAATTTACTGGAAAATGAAATAAGGTCGAAACATCGCTCATTTGATAATAATTCTGTAATCAATTTCAATTAAAATTAGATTTCCGCATTTTAGCTTGAAACCCCTAATATTACTTTTTTCGCACAGAATTCCCTTTTTATTGTTGATTAATTAAAGCTATGAAATTAATTAACAATATATAAACTTTCTCGATGATATCAAATATTTTATCTTTCAGTTCTGTTATTTGAAAGTTCCCAGCCTTTTTCACACTCATGATAGTGGGAAATAAGAACATGAATATAGTAGCTAATCTTTTTACACATAATTACCAAATAGTTAAACTTGCCTCGATATGGTATAGATTATTTTATCTTTCTGATCCGGTATCTAAAAGTTCCCAATCGTTTTCACAATCATGATAGTGGAAAATGCGATCACAAGCATAATGTCTATCTTTTTACGCATAATGTATTGCTAAGAAATGATGATAATTTCGATATTGAGATTATTGATCAGCTAAGAATAATGAGTATTTCATTGAATTCAGGAAGAATTAGATCTCTTGCACTATAGGTGATATTGCAAAAGATCTTGGTACACAAAATTTTATATAATATAAGGAGGATCTATTCTTTCAAATGGTTCCATTTAGAGTCATTATACATAAGTGTCTAAAATTACCTCTTTTAGTAAAATAATATATTTTAAAATACTATATTAACAACTTAAAAGAGACAAATTCTATCAATTCAGCTAACTAGATACTTTTTATATTCTTATTCACTTAATTAGCAATGGATCCGTTAAGTATTTTTACAAATTTGAAAAACTTCATACTCATCTATAAAAAACCATCCATCTGTACTTCTGAGTTGTTTTTCATAGTTAGCTTTGCCACAATGCCATTCTTTAAGCGTATAGTTATCATGCCTTCCCATTCCAATGTCATGAGCACCAAACCATGGACCTTGTGATATCTTACCATAACAGATTGCATTTGAAGTTTTAACTATGCGACTAAGAATCGATTGAGTTGTGTTTCCATTTTTCAAAGAAAAAATAAAGCTATCAGCTGTTCCAGCATAATAATTGCCAACTTTCCCAACTTTCCAGATAAGAGGATTATAACCACCAAGTATCTCATCTGTACCACTGACCTTCAAAACAACCACAGTACCAGGTATATTATCACATAACTTATGAAATACTTCACCCGTGAATCCATCTCTACTGCCTCTTAGTAAAAGTTTAAATTCATATGGAATATTAGTAGTATCATAAATTGTTAGACATCGATCAAGCCATGCTGAAATCTCTGCCGCATGCTGTAATGTGATTATAGAAGAAGATGGTGTAATAGATGCTTTTCGAGGTGGAAGTTGTACAATTTCTTTTTTGCGAGGAGGTAAATTTGAAGAAACAATAGATGCATCTGGATCCAAAAGCTTTGCGATTATATCATCCCATAAATTCTCTTCAAGAATATTGCGATAAGGTTTAATTTTATTTAAAACATCTTTACCAGGAATATGAAAGTATCTAATATGAGGAAGACAATGTTGAAGGCTAGCTTTTAAAGACTTAAAATTTTCATTAGTCCACTCTTTAATGTTAGATGGTAAATTAGGAGTTTGCGCTTTTCCCCATAGAATAACTTTATCCCAAATTTCTGATTCCTCTATTTGTAAATTATCATTCTTTAAAAGAGCAATTAAAGCATTTTCATGGAGAGTAGTAAAATCATCAGAGTTAAAAATTATGCTTGGGTGCTTTGCAAGTATGTTATTGCAAAATTGTTGTAAAGGTCCAAAGTTTTCGTTAAGAAAGCTAATTTGATAGACACGAAAAAAATTTAAACGGAGCCAAGATGCATTATTGTCAATAAGGTGAGACTGGAGGCATTCGACTAATTTTATAAGTTTGAGTTCATCAGTAACGACTAATAAATCGAATATGATAGAAGTTTCAAGATTTTCTAAAGGAATTACACCACCATAAATATATCTATCGACAAAAATAATAGATTAATATTTTATAATAAAACATGTATTTGATGAAACTGTAACTTACTTAATGATAATCTTAAATGCTTTAACAGAAACATGAGGCAATTTAATTTCAATTATATTATTTTTCTTAATTGCATTTATAAATTGTTGGCGAAAGTATAAAGATCGTTGGTACAAGATTGCTGAATGTGCTTTGAAAAGTTGAATATTTGGTTGTTCTCCAACTTCAATTACTACATTATAATCGTATTCGTTTTCTAAAAGTTGTGTAAAGTCTTCTGAAAGTTGTTCGAATAATTTTAATGTCATTTCAAATATATGATTACGACGGATTCGTATCAGCATGCATGTACATACATTTATATATACTTGTTTAATTTTTATATGCGTGTGCTACATAAAAAAGGTCAAATATTGAATTGATGTGGAACGAACCCTCAAATTATAATTTCTTTTTTTGTTCTAGCCTGCTTTTAGGACATTGTATTCAATTTGTCATAATAGAACTTTAAACTCGTGCTATCTTTTTCGGTTTTGATTTGAACTTCTTGAATAAATATACTTGATGGGTGAATGATGATCTTTATTTTACTATTTCTGTTAATATCAAATTTATTATTATTTATTATACCTACAAAATAATGGCATAAATATTAAATCGATGATCAAAAATATATTAACAATTAAAAAAAGAATCATCAGGAGCTTTTCACTCACTTGGTACTTAATGTCTTTTAATTATCACTTATATTTAAATTATAACATCATATGTAAGTAGATCTCATATCAATACGGATATCTAAGCGAACTTCTAGGACCGATTATTTTTATATAGCAAAGATAGACGTTATCTCGAAGCTAGAAATGGCATTTACAATGTCTTTTTATTATTATTAAAACGTTATAATCTCAATAAGTAAATTAAAAAATTAAAGTATATAAATAAGTTACCCAAGCGATTGATTTAGTTCTTTAAATCGTAAGAAAGAATTTTGCAAATTCTAAAAAGTTGAAATAATAGTTTGTCAATAAAAAGTTTGGGGTTAAATAAACGTTTGAATTAATACTTGAGGTACTTAGCTTTGGCATCCCTAATAGCATAAAAATAATGCCAATGTTAAAAGAGTATAATAAAATATTCCTATGTGTAATTTCGGTACCAGAGCCTAGGATGTGTACCGATATCACATCATATTCATACCCAACCAGTCTTTCTTGCATCTCCCTTACAAGAGTAGGTTGTTCTTCTACGTAGAGATGGAAATCAGTTTTTAAAATTTTTGAAAGTCATTAAAAATCGATTCGTCGGAATCAATCTTCTATAAACATTTTAAAATTTTAAAAGTTGATTACATCTTTGTTTCTACGTATGAAGCTTTTCTTAGTTTGCTAACAAATTCCTCTATCCCCAAATTTTTCGACTGCTTTATTTAAGGAAGAAACCTAACTAGTTCTTTCTTGAGAACCAATAGACCTTAAACAGAAGAGATGAAAAATATTGAGTGTCAAAAGGAAAGAAACAAACTAAGTAAGAAAAAAATAATATGCTAGTATACATATCAAATTTATATTTTATCATTAAAAATTATGTAATGTTGACCAATATCCAACATTTACATCCTTTTGCGCATTTTTCAAGTGGTTAATTTCCTTTTTAGGCTTGTCTCGCGCTATTGAAAATGATTTTTATTGTCGTTATCTAAAAAACAACCAGCTTTAAAAAATCTGAGGTGTTGTGCACAAACAACACCTATGTTACACGAGTTTGAAAAAATCCCTTACTGATATACATATTATTGTATTATCCGTTATTAGCTTTATATGTATTTTAATTTTAATTATTGACAGACGTTTAATTAAATAATTTTCTTTCTTTATGTCACCTAATTTTATATAATCATACCACTCCACTAAAGCTTTTGACACACAATTTAAACCATTATATTATTTTTTATTACATAATATCCAGACGTAATTTAAATATCTGAATAGTTTGAGGCCCGATAACGTGACGTAAATACTATCAATTCCTCGATTTAGATATCCCAGCAATTAATCGCATTAATGCGATTAATTAAATAAATCAAGGAAGTGGAATTAATTGAAGAAAGGGGATTAATTAGAGAAGGGGGATTTATTAAGTAAACGGGTTTAAGTGAATAAATTAGAGGAATCGAATTAAAGGGTTTAAAGAGATAAATGTAATTAATGAAGTTATAAGTAAAAAGATATTATAAATAAAGGCCGAAATGGCCCTTTGGAGCAGTATGCTTTGTTTGCTTTATTAAACAATAACTCCTAATACACTACATTATATATAATAAACATTAACACTAATACTATTACCAACCTTGTAAACTCCTGTAAACATCACTGTTCAACCCTTGGCCACGTGACTTACCCACTTGCATTCGTTGACCCAAAGTAACCGAAGGCCTTAACCATTTACAAGCCAAATCTAACACCCTCTTTCGAAAAGGTTACTTATTGTATGTTATGTGAGGTTTTGAATTGTGGAGTAACAGAGTCACAAACTTCCAAACCCAACATTTTGGTGGTGACTGTGAGATGAATTAGATGAAACTGAAACCACAGTGGAAGAATGGATAGAACAGTTCCTCCAGAATGATAACCTTAATAAAAAAGACAAGAAAAAAGCAGCATCGTTCTTTAAACAGGAAAGGAACTTGTTCGCAAGCAATATATGAGAACTTGGAGAGACAAATGTGATAACCTATTGGATCAAGGCCACCAGTGCTAAGCTGATAAAGCAGAGAGTGTATAGGACAGAACCTAGTGAGCATGAATTCATTGAGAAGAAACTAAAGAAAATAGAAGAAAAGAGATTGATTAGAAAGTCGAGTAGCCTGTGGGCTTTGCCCATAGTTTTAGTACCAAAGAAAGGTAATAAGCTATGACTATGCATTGACTATAGGAAGTAATAAGAAAGGACTCTTACCTGCTACTCCACATCGACGATCTACTAGAGACCTTTAGTACTACGAAATAGTTTCCAGTTTAGACTTGAAAAGCGGATATTGGCAAGTGAAAGTAGAAGAAGAAGATAGGGAGAAAACAGCATTCGTAATATGAGAAGGACTCTATGAGTTCAACATCATGCCATTTGGATTGTCAAACACACCCGCCACTTTCTAATGGTTGATGGATCATATATTAGAAGGGTACATTGGAAAATTTGTGACTATCTATATTGATGATATTAATGTATACTCGTATACCTTCGATGAACACTTGATACACCTAAAAAAGGTGTTCAATAAGTTAGCTGAAGCAGGACTGAAAATTAACATAGAAAAATGCAAATTCTTTAAATCTACTATTCACTTTCTTGGGCATATCATCAGATGGCAAGGGATACAACCTAACAAGAGTAAGATAGAAAAAGTTAAAAATTACTCTATGCTCAATACTCTGCATTAGTTAAGAGGATTCATTGGCCTTGTGTCATACTATAGAAAGTTCATTTCTGAATTCATGGCTATAGCATGACCTCTACACCATCTATTGCAAAAAGATGTTAAATTCGAATAGGGACTACAACAGCAACAAGCATTCAAAACATTGAAAATGCACCTAATTACAGCACCCGTTCTCAAGTACTCCAACTTTGATGATATTTTTTTCTTGTATACTAATGTGTTTGGGATGAGATTAGGAGCTGTTTTAGCTAAAAAGAGTGCTGACAGAAAAGAGCACATGATCTCATATGCCAGCTATAGCCTATCTAAAGCTGAATGAAACTATTTAGCATGCGAATTAGAATGCTTGGTGGTTATCTGGGTGATAGAATACTACCACTATTATTTTGGCTTTAAGCTGTTCATTATTATAACTGACCACTCTGCACTCAAGTGGCTACATAGTACGAAGTTAAAGGATAAAAGGGCTCATTGGATACTTTGTTTACAGCCATACAATTACATGATCTAGCATAGATCAGGACATACACATTGGAATGCAGATGCATTGTCTCAAATAAATAGAACGGGAGATGATATTGTGGAAATATATATCGCAATAGAAGAAAGTAAAGAAGAATTAGTAATGGAAACCATCGAAGAACAAGCAAGTGAAATGCAACCCAACTTACCTAAGTTTGAACAAGTATTCGACTCAAGAGCCCCACTGATCCTCCTATTATCGTTTACCAAGTTGGAGACAAAATATCAAAGCAACTTAGAGTATTCAGAGCCAAGTAAATCGTATGGCAACACCTATTAAATGTATTACCATCCCACCTATTTTAAGCATCTTGCGTTAGAAATCTTGGATCGATGAAAGGCTATATATATGATTGAATTTCACAGATTTAACCTAATAGTGCCAGAACCTAAACAACTATTAGTATTAAGAGATTGAGTAATTACAGAAGCAAAGCAAGAATTGATTTAAAGGGAATACTTACTTGATACCAGCATCGACTTGGGATATATTGAGTTGTTGGACCTGCAAGAAATAGAGAAGGATAAAATGCCAATTGGAGGAGCGATCGAAAAATAGTTAATATTAAACCATGTTGACAAGCGAATATATTGAATTACGCATGATCTTCTTAGCCAAATGTGGTCGATTAAGGAAATGACATCACGATCCTTGAGAAGATTATTGATGTGGATAAGCAAGAAACAATGACCACATTCAGAAATTGGATCATCTAATTTTAGTAACTCTTCAATTACATTAATGCTGAATTAGTAAAACAGTGCATAAAAAAAAATAGGATGACTAGAAAAACAAAAAGAAAAAAAGAAGATACCCAAATCCAATGATAAATTCAATCCAGTCAAGATAGCTGGTGTTCTGGCATTAGAATTCCAAAATGGAGATAGAAGATTATGAACAGTTAAAATAGTACTTGCAAGAAGGATATGTCGACAGCAATCTAGAAAAGAAACAAAAAAGACAATTAATTAACTACAGTAGATCATTTTTGATAAAGAATGAACTACTATATAGGAAAAACAAGAAACTTCAAGACCAATCTTTGAAAGTGATACAGAAGCATGAAATCGACCCCATCCTGTTGTTAATACACGATTACCCTCTTGGTGGGCACTTTGGAGCCAAGATGATGTTTGAGAAAATTTGTAGGACATACTGGCCACAAGCATTCAAATATATCAAACAATATGTCTGGTCATGTGAAAGTTGCCAAAAGCAGGAAAAAACAAATATATGGGACCTTTACAATTGATACCCATGATGGCATCATTCTATAAAGTAGAGATCAATATCATAGGCTCATTTCCAATTACTCTATAAAATTTCTGTTACATAGTCATCACAACTGACTATATGACAAAATGGCTAGAAGCTAGGGCAATTTTGACCTTTGATGCTCAAAGTGTAGTAGATTTCATCTTCAAAGATATCATGTGCAGGCATGGATGCCCCCTTAAGCTGTTATCAGATCGTGGCACCCACTTTAGGAATCAACTTGTTGATAGGTTGCTAGAAAAGTTCAAGATCAAGCACCTGCTATTAATGCTGTACTACTTACAGACCAACAGGTTGGTAGAATAATATAATAAGACCTTGTGTGAATCTATTGCAAAGTTAATAGATAATGTTAGTGACTGGAACCTTGTTGTGTCTGCAGTATTATTTGCATACCGTACCTCTAAGCATGCAACTACAAAGATCATGCCATTTTTCTTGATGTATGGAAGAGAAGCCCACCTACCAATCAAATCTGACAATTTGTTAGAAGGAACAATAATACAAAGAACATTCCAATTGTTAAAAGACTTACTGATAACACATCATGAGGCTGTGTTAGAAGTTCAACAGGCTCAAAGAAAACAAAAAGAACAGCATAACCGAAATGCCTGTTTTCTACCTGAATTGTTCATCAGTGATAAAGTTCTGCTATACTGTGTTTCTAAAAAGTATAATAGAAGCATGAAGTTAGAGCCAAAATGGAATAGACTGTTTTACATCTATTAGATACTAAACAGAGATATATACAAATTGCACACCATAGAAGGAAAGGTCCTTGCAACACCGTTTAACATTACACTACTGAAGGAGTATTATGAGTAGTCCAACTAGGAAATGAAAACCGAAAAAGTGTATATAAAAAGAAATATTATAAAAAAAAAATAAAAAAAATTTAAAATAAAATTACCAAAAATGACGAAATTCATAAAGAAGATAGTTGATCTGAAACAAGAGGAGAAAAAGATATAAGAAGGATCAGGAGTGTAAAATAGGAAGGAAGTAAAATTTATTAAAAATAAGGCTTACTATACATCAGATCATCGATGACATCAATCAGCTTATGTTTAATGATGTTAATCCGATCTTACCACCATTCAATAACTCACATGATCTAACTACCTGTGTGATCTTGACCTTTTCATTGCTCTTCCAATTGATCTGTCTATAAGAAAGAATCAATGCCTTGGTTTATGTCTATTATCTAGGATCAATCTTCACCAGGGCTACTCCAATGCAGAAAAGACAACTTCAGAAACTCATAACCTCCCATTACTATATGGTTTCCTTAAAGGTCTTCAATATTTTCTCAGCCATCGGGATGATAAAAATTTATGGTATCAAAATCATGATGCACTAAGATATTAAGGAGCTCAAAATTACCGAATTGAGGCAGATAATTTCAGAAAGCTCATGGAACTCACTCTTAATCATGAGAGGAATGTAAGGCCCAATAACATGATGTAAATACTCTGTCAAGATGATGATTAATTCCTTGATTTAGATATCCCAGCAATTAATCACATTAATGCGATTAATTAAATAAATCAAAGAAGTGAAATTAATTGAAAAAAGGGGATTAATTAGAGAAGAGGGATTTATTAAGTAAACAGGTTTAAGTAAATAAATTAGAGGAATCAAATTAAAGGATTTAAAGAGATAAATGTAATTAATGAAGTTATAAGTAAAAAAATATTATAAATAAAAGCCAAAATGGCTCTTTGGAGCAGTATGCTTTGTTTGCTTTATTAAACAATAACTTCTAATACACTATATTGTACATAATAAACACTAACACTAATACTGTTACCAATTTTGTAAACTCCTGTAAATGTCGCTGTTCAACCCTTGGCCACATGACTTACCTACTTGCATTCGTTGACCCAAAGTAACCAAAAGCCTTAACTGCTCACAAGCCAAATCTAACACCCTCTTTCGAAAAGGTTACTTATCATACATTACATGAGATTTTGAATTGTGGAGCAACAGAGTCGCAAACTTCTAAACCCAACAATAGCATAAGACAGCAAATTGGTCAATTCATAATGATAGTGGTAATTATGTAGAAAAGTTATCAAAATATCTTTTAATTCACTTAACGTTAGGTGCCAACTTCAGATACGACATATATATATATAGACTGCAAAAGTTATGAAATTTCAACTTTTGCTGATCTTGTATGCAACAAAACTTAGATCATATCAACAAAGTGACAAGATTACTATTATTAAGTTCACTTATGTATGTTTCTAGTTAATGTTGTGATTGCATATAATCATTAGGATATGAACTACTGTCATTAGAAAATGGGTAGGGGAAGTAAAAGATAATTGTATAATTCCTGAAACCAATGTAAGAAAGATAAGATTATCTTATTCTTAGCACAAGATATTTAAGATGTTTTGGTAGTAAAAAAGATTAATAAAAACATCTCATTGAGTAATAATAATATAAAATATTCTTGTGTTACATGATACCTTAAGAGTACCACTAAATTCTGCTCATCCAATCAAATCAGCAAAAGTCTGTTGTTGAGCATGGTTTTAGCATCAAAAACTTTTTTTTTTTTTTTTTACAATAGCGACAAAATATTTATATATAAAATTTAATAAAAAGTTTATTATAGTGTAACTAACAAAATAGTAATATATCATCAAAGATTACAAAGGTAGAATGATAGCTATAAATCAAAATTAACCAAAATGTAATTGCTAATTGAAATGAAATTTATAAAGAGACATTTTATTCATTTTCTTGCTCTTTAATTTTAATTGATAATTTATTTTACCATATTACATTTGATTTCATTCTTTGATTTCAATAATTGGAGACTGTAAAATTAGCAAAAGTTACACATTTTATAAAATAAATAGGAATTTTCAAATAGCACTTTATTATGGATTTCAAAGTTAACAAGTGAGTGGTGCATTTTAAAATTAAATGAGAGTTTGAAAAATCTTAAAGTATTCTAAAATTTTAAAATAGGAAAATGAAATAAGAGTTTCTGAAGATCTCATTTAACATAATAAATAGGTTTTTCGATGACAAAAATCATCATTTCAAATTTATTTGAAAATGAAATAAGGTTGATACATTGCTCATTTGAAAATAAATACCTAACCAATTTCAATTAAAATTAGATTTCTATATTTTAACTTTTAAAACTCTAATTATAGTCATTAGATGAAACTGTTTTTTACAAATGGTGAAACATGAAACTGGCAAAACTCTGGTGAATGATGAAACCCCTGGCGAATGATGAAACCCACAGAGAAAGATGAAGTCCAAGCTCTCAGCAAGTTTGAATTCTCTAAAATTTTAAAAAGACTGAGCCATGTTGGAGAATTAAATATTGTATGTGGATGTGTACATATGACTAATATAAAAAATATATGCATATATGTACCTTAACCAAGCATAGCATGTGGCTTGTATAAATAAATATACTTAAGTTATGTTGGTGAATGAAAATATTTGTATGATTATTATGTACAACATGTGGTTCATATAAACAAATATACTCAAGCCATGTTGGTTAATGAAATGTTTGTGCATAGTTATTAGGAACTGCATGTGATTTATATAAAGAAAAATATTTAAGCCATGCTGATAAATGAAAATATTCATGTATATTATAATTATTAAGCATAGCATGTGGTTCATACAAAGAAGTCATATTGAATTAATATTTACATGTGACTATTAAGCACAGTCTATGGCTAATATGAAAAGAAATGCATTTAAGTCATGTTGGTTAGTAAAATATTTGTGCATAGTTATTAAGTATAACATAGGTTTATATGAAAAAATATATCAAAGTAAGAAAAAAGACAATTCTATGTTGTATTTAAGTATTTTTAAAAGAAAACTAAATTTCAGGCTTTTGAACTTATAATAAATCAATTTTACAAATTCTAAGCTTAAAATTTTATTATTTTTTAAAAAGCATTTATTTATATATTAATATTATTTATGTAAAAAAAACCTTAAGTCTTTTTATTGTGTTTTTAGTCTGTGGATTTCATTACTAATCATTCCTGCTTGTACAGGACTGCCTCCTGGACTGTTGATTTGCAAGATTACCCCCACTGCATTATTATTGACTCGCCTCTTAATTTTTCATAACATACAAGTACAAAGGAGGAGAGTATGTCTGTCCATATGTTTTCAAGAAATTATTTAAATAAATTAATATTACATATATTAAAAACATAAGATTTTTTTTTATTTATTATTTAAATAATTATAAATTTTATTGTTAAGCTACTAAAGATTTTTTTAATGTTTGTGTCTAGACTTTAAGTACCATATATATGTAAGTAGTTTATTAATATTATTATTACTGAAAGTATTTTTTAATAAATTTTAGAGTTAACTTTAATTGTTAAAAAAATAATTATCATATTATCAATTTATAATAAATCAAATTTAATAAAATTTAGATCATTAGAAATAAAAAAACATTATATATATATTATATTAAAATTTAGATTAGATTAAAATTTAAATATTAAAGTTGAAATAAAAATCTATACTAAATAAGTAATTAAAATCTGTTATTACTATTAAATGAAAGAGTTAAACTAATTTAAATTCTAAAAATAATAAGCAAAGATAGAATTATATAGGATAGTTGTATAATGTTAATATACAAAACCAAGAATAAAAGATGTGAGAAACATTGACATTACATTTTACGTTTAGTAAATTTATAAATTGCTGCAGTATTGAACATATGGTCAATGATTTGAAATAGTAATGTTACAAATTTAAGTATAGTTAAATATTGCTAACTTTATTAAAATTCTAATTATGACTTTCAAGAACACAAATTGCAATACTCTAAATTATAATTACAAAAATGATTACAGTTTGAAATAACCAATTTTTATTTCTTAATCAAAGACTTTATCTTTATTACTAATCAAATAAAGAAACATATAAACATAGGTTCACCATCTTAAGGATCTATTCGAATATAAACAAGACTAAAAAATGGTAGTTGTACTAACTGTAAAATGCATGTAAACTATCATGAAATTTCTATAGCAAAAAAGAGAATCAGGTAACTAATTGTAATATTATGTTAAAGAAAATAATATGATAATGCTCAATGTATACACAGGTTTCTGCACAACCACTGCAACCATAAAGCCAATTATAAGGTCTTTGCACTGCTACAGTAGCTGTGAAACCTAACTTGAAGATCCTTGCACTGCTGAAACAACTGTGAAGTCTAATTAAAAGGTCTTGCACTGTTAGAACAACCGTGAAGCCTCTTCTCACTTATCAACAAGTAGGACTTACTAATCAAGAGATAACTTTAAACAACATCTACATACTAAATCTAACTTATATATGCTTTTTCAAAACTTATACTATTAAGTTAATATATATGATATTTTAGGTGATTGTATGTGTTAAACATCAAGAGTGCGTAATAATGCCTAATACAACTAAGGATACAAAGATTGAAGGAGATAACATCTTACTGCTAGGACAAATATAGAAGTAAGATTTAGAGAACAATGAACAGTTACATTAGTTTCATGCCTTTTTCTAGTTTTCGCCAGTTTCATCACCTTTTGCCAGTTTCGTCACTTATTACCACCTTTCGCCAGTTTCGTCTTTTTAATTATTTTTTGGCGAAAGTCGAAACCAGGTTTTGCCATTCGCCATTGGCGAAACCTCTAGGTTTCGCCTAACAACTATAACTCTAATATTACTTTTTTTCGCACAGAATTCTCTTTTTATTGTTGATTAATTAACGCTATGAAATTAATTAACCATATTTAAAATTTCCTCGATAGTATCAAATATTTTATGCATTTGTTCTGTTATCCGAAAATTTCCAACCTATTCACACTCATGATAGTGGAAAGTATGATCATAAATATAGTAGCTAATATTTTTACACATAATGTATTATTAAAAAGTGATAAAACTAGCCTCGATATTGGGATTTTGGCAAAAATCTATATCGTTAATTAATGTCAATGGCATTTTTTGTTTTTTACAATTGTAATATAATTAATACTTATATGTAAAATTTAATAAAATTTTATTATAGAATAACTAGTAAAATCGGTTGAGCTGCCATACATAATTAAACATTAAAAACAGCAAAAAGTATAAAATAACAATTAATCGAAATCGGCCAAAATGAGAATGCTAATATGATTTATTGTTTTTGTTGTCAAATATGATTTAGATGTCTTCATTGTTATCAAAACAAAAGTTTCCACATTTAAAGAAAAATCAAATAAGCTATTATGTTCTAATTTTTAGATTGATTTAATCGGTCTTACTATATAACAATTGATCTCATTCCTTCGCTTCAACGACATTAATCTGTTTTTTTTCGTTCGTAATTCCTTCTTTCCGTTAATGGTTTAACATATAAAATTAATTACCAAGAATTAAATTTGCCTCAATATTGTATACCCTATTTTATCTTTCTGATCCAGTATCTAAAAGTTTCCAATCTTTTCACAGTTATGATAGGGGAAATGCGATCACGAACATAGTGTCTATCTTTTTACGCATAATGTATTGCTAAGAAATGATAATAAATAATTTCAATATTGAGATTATTGATCAGTTAACAATAATGAGTATTTGAGTTTAGGAAGAATTGGATCTCTTGCAGTATAGGTGATCACTTTAGTGAATCATCCATATTGCAAAAGATTCCGGTACAGCCAAATTTTATCTGCTATAAGGAGGCTCTAATCTTTCAAATGTCTTCATTTTAGAACCATTATGCTCTTTTAGTAAAATAATATATTTAAAATACAATAATTCAATATACTAACAACTTAAAAGAGATGAATACTATGAATTCAACTAATTATTTTTCTACACTAATATCCGTTAAGTATTTTTAAAAATTTGAAAGACTTCATACTCATCTATAGAAAACCATCCACTTGTACTTCTGAGTTGTTTCTCATAGTGACATTTTCCACAATACCATTCTTTAGAATTTTTTCCCATTCCAAAGTCATTACCACTAAACCATGAACCGCTTGATATTTCACCATGATAGATTGCACATGAAGTGCTAACTACGCGACTAAGAATCGATTGATTTGTGTTTCCATTATTCAAAGAAAAAATAAAGCTATCAGCTGTTTTAGCATACGATCCACCAACTTTCCAGATTAAAGGATTATAACCACCAAGTAGTTCATTTGTGTTATTAATCTTTACTACAACCACAGTACCAGGTATATTATCACATAGCTTATGAAATACTTCACCCGTGAATCCATCTCTACTGCCTCTTAGTAAAAGTTTAAATTCATATGGGATATTAGTAGTATCATAAATTGTTGGACATCGATCAATCCATGATGAAATCTCTGCTGCATGCTGTAATGTAATTATAGAAGAATATGGTGTAATAATAGATGCTTTTCGAGGTGGAAGTTGTACATTTTCTTTTTTACGTGATGCCAAAACTAATGATGTGATAGACATATTTGGGGCTACCAATTTTGTAATAATATCATCCCATAAATTCTCTTCAAGAATATTACGGTAAGGTTTAATTTTATTTAAGACATCTTCACCAGAAATTTGAAAGTATCTAATATGAGGAAGGCAATGTTGAAGAGTAGCTTTTAATGACTTAAAATTTTCATTAGTCAACTCTTTACTGTTAGATGGTAAATTGGGATTTTTTGCTTTTCCCCATAAAATGACTTTATCCCAAAGTTTCGATTCTTCCATTTGTAAATTATCATTCTTTAAAAGAGCAATTAAAGCATTCTCTTGGAGAGTGGTAAAATCATCAGAATCAAAAATCAAGCTTGGATGTTTTGCAATAATATCATTGCAAAATTCTTGTAAAGGACCAAAATTTTCGCTAAGAAAGCTAATTTGATAAACACGAGAAAAATTTAAACGAAGCCAAGATGCATTATTATCAATAAGATGAGACTGGAGGCATTCAACTAATTTTACAAGCTTAAACTCATTGGTAACAACCAATAAATCGAATATGACCGAAACTTCACATTTTTCTAAAGAAACTGCACCGCCATAAATATATCTATCGACAAAAATAATAGATTAATATTTAATAATAAAACATGTATTTGATGAAACTATAACTTACTTAATGATTATATTAAATGCTTCAACCGAAACATGAGGCAATTTAATTTCAATTATATTATTTTTTTTAATTGCATTTACAAATTTTTGACGAAAATATGAAGATCGTTGGTACAAGATTGCTGAATGCGCTTTGAAAAGTTGAATATTTGGTTGTTCTCCAACTTCAATCACTACATTATAATCGTATTCACTTTCTAAAAGTTGTGTAAAGTCTTGTGAAAGTTGTTCGAATAATTTTAACGTCATTTCGCATATATTGATATGATTATAAAAAATTGTATGTAAGTACGTACGTAAGTACTTATCGTTATATACTAATGTGTGTACTACATAAAAAAGGACAAATTTTGAATGCACCCTAAAATGAAAAGCAGTGACAGAGCGGTCATTATTGCGAGATCAGATGACTTTATTGCAAATCGCAATCGTATGTGTGTCTTTTGTTAAATACATGTTTTCGGTATCATTATTGTAATGGCATATGATTTAGCGAATTTAGGGTTATATGAATATCGGTAAATAGGATGATGTTTGTAAGGGTAGTTATTCGGAAGAAAGAAGGTTATATTTCGTTTCTCTTTGGTAAAGGCTGGCTCTATCTACCACCCACCCACCCGTTTTCTAAGGGGACTAGTGGATACAAGAGTGTAACGATTACCTGATTGGACCATATAACTTTGATTAAGGCTCCACGGTTGCAGTGGCAGTGCAAGGACGGGAAGTTTCAAGATCAGTGGACCCAGCGATATTTTCGTGATAATCACATCACATGATTAAACTCTCAGCCTAAATTAGGGTGGGTTTTAGGGTTAGATGATAGTATGTCTTAGGCCGATTTGTTAGTGCTGGTAAACCAATGACGTAATTGCGTGATTTCACGTGATGTGATGATCACTGGGTCCATTGATCTTGAAGTGTCCCGCAAGGACCTTAGTGGTGAGTTTTGGGGCTCCACGACTGCAGTGGCAGTGCAAGGACCCTTGGAAGCAGTTTCTTGGGCTCCGCGACTGCAAGAATAGTGCAAGGATCCTCATTAGTGAATAGTCAGGCTTCATGCTTGCGGTGGCAGTGCAAGGACCTTTACAGAGTTTAATGTTTCTTTCCGAAATAGATATGTCAGGTGGCATTCCGATTCTCTTTAGCTATGTGGACATCATTTGTTCCCCTTGTCTACTTTGGTTTCTCGTAATAGAAGTGTGAGTATTGGATTCTTGAAGGTTCAGGGAATTTTGAAGGCTGAGAGGTCAGCGAGTTATGACACTGCCATATTGGGGGGATGCTTTGATTCGGTTTTGGATAATTGTGATATTGTTCTAGAGGCGTTGTTTATATGTATTGAAGTGCAATAAAGTATATGATCGAGCAATAATAATGATATTTTTTGTCCCACGTAATGTAGTTAGATTTGATCTTTTATTTGCTTATCAATATCGTTTGTAATACGTAGTTGTCATTGTACTAAGAGAACATCCATGATAAAATTTAGAAATCGGGTTATTATTTTTGCCCTTTCGAGTCGAACTTAAGTTAAATATTATAATTAAAATATATGTCGTGACTGAGGTTGACACCCGACTGGAGTTGCAATTTCAATTGGCTAAAGTCTGAAATTAGATTACTTTGCACGCAATTTTTTGCAAGTGAAACTTCAGTCAGATGTCAACTTCAGTCGGATGTCAACTTCAGTCACGACAGCTGCACTTTTAAACGATTGGCAAATAGAAAATATATATTAAGCAAGTAAATAAATAACGTTGCCTTTCCAAAAATTACGTTTTATCAAATTACGTATAAAATTACGTTTTATAAAATTAAGCTTTAGGAAAAATAGTCATTTGTCATAGAATTAATTATGCTAAATTTTTGAATAGGAAAACTTAAATAGCGTTTCGGTATATTTAACGTTAATGTATCTTATTTTTACTGCCACCAAGTTTGAATCAAAATTTTGCAATAAATAGTCTTTGTTGGAATTAGTGATGCCGACAATACTCTTGACAAAACCTGATAAAAATATAAACTAGCTACGTGATAGGTTTGTGATAGGTTTATGTATTGCTTTTATATTTAATTAACATTTTTATTGTACGATATAATATTTTTTTAAAGTTAATTATCGTCAGTATTATTTCCTAAGACCTCATCAACAATATTCGATGCTTCAAAGTTCACATCTAACCCAAGCTTTTAATATAGCATTATCGAATGAATTTGGTGATTTATAGAATGTGATTCTGAATTATTTGCATTCATAGAATCTATTGATATGCGATGTTTTGTTTTTGAAGGTCTTTGATAATTATTATGTCGATCTTCAATTTTATCCTGCCAATATTTTGCTCATATTCTGGCAACTAGAATATTCATTAGTTAATTGTGATTTCATTACGATTGGTATTTCTCTTTTTCAATAATTAAAATAGTGATTTCTACTTTTTTTGTTTGACAGTTATATTTTTTATTAATTGAAAACTGAATGACAATTAAATTATTATTAATATTATTTGACATATTGGTAATAGCTTCTTACACTAGTCTTTTATAATTTGATAATAACAGACAACTAAGTTTAATTTAATATTTTTCGTAATTTGATCACAACGTAACGTAATTTAATTGAATATATATGTAATTTGATATAACAAAGCTTAATTTAATACGTATATATTATATCATCTACAGTACGTAGTTGACTCTTACATAATTTGCCACGTAATAGACTTGCTAAAACTCTCAAATAACTTCTTATACTTTTCTATCATGAGATAACATTCCTCACGATATGTTAGTTCCGTTTTATAATTTGATTCAAGTTCCAGAAGTTTAATTAAATTTGCAAGTGGTGTTTTATATTCATTCATCATAAGTTGCACCATGATTCTTTAATGCCAATGTGTCATTTTGTTCTTCATAGAGAAATTTATCAAGCTCTGCAAGTGATTTTTTATATTTATTCTTTGTGAAATAAATTTTTAAGCGATATTTTTAATTTTTAAAATAATTTCTTCGTTTTTAGGTGGTTCATAATTTTTCTTCTTCACATCGTATATTTCTTCATCCAAATTTATTCGTTTTAGTATTTAGTAATTCAGTAAAATCCACAAGTGATTTATCGTATTCTTTTTTATGATAATAAATCATTCCACGATGTTTTAACATATATACATTATTTGGTTCAATATTTAGTGAATTATTTAAATCTACTAATTATTCTTCATCTCTCCATAATATATTTCTCCACGATTATTTAATGCCACATATCGTTCGGTTCAATTTCTAATAACTTATTTAAATCTTCAATTGATTTGTAATATGTTTTCATATCATAATTATTAATTCCACGAACTCAATCATATATGTCAATTATAGTATGCCGTAATTTAAAGCAAAAACTTATAATTAATTATAACTTAGTTACGATAACCCTATTCATAGACGACTTTTATATGATTGGTTGTTTAAGTCAATTTAATTTTGCATTATTTATACAGTCTAACCCTACAAAGGTTAAATGAAAAAAAATGTATATAGAAAGTTTTATTAGATTGTGGAACACCCCTTTTGTTTTAGCGAAGTTAGTATTTACAACTTCTTAAAAATGACCGACCTAGATTATTACCGTGCTAACTTCTCTAAAACAAAAGGGATTTTGATCGTGGAGTCTTATAACCCTCCTATATACCTTTTCATTTATTCTTAAAAAGTACTTTAAACGGTATAAAAGAATGTAAAATTAAATTGACTTAAACAAGCAATCACATGAAAGTCACCCTTCAAGTTTGCCTGCATCGTTACTCGTGTGAAAGTAATATAACAGATAGCGAAATCGCAATAAACGGATTAATAATAATTATAATAATAATATATACTGTATAATAATAGTAATAACTGTGACAAATTACTGTTAATTAGACAGTCTACACGTATATATTCACTTTTATGAATGATTGTAGCTATAATTTCTATTAATTTTACTATAAGCAGCTTTTGAGAACCACTCGAATGATTTTTCTTCATCTATAAGAACACCAATTCCATTCTGGTAGCACCGTCCAACATTAATTTGCCCATCAATATTTTCACCTTCAGCAGATTTATAATACCATTTAAATGCTTTTTGTTCATTCACAATCGTGCGTAAACCACCTTGATAACCATATTGATAACACCACCCAAGTGTACACTGTCCAGCACTACTTCCATTTTTAGCTGATTTCAAAAACCATTCAAATGCTTTTTTTCGATTAATACTGATACCTATACCGTTATAATAACACCATCCTATACTGAGTTGACCATCAGAATTACCACTTTTTGCAGATTTAAAATAACAATCAAACGCTTTTTTTTCATCTTTAGTAACTCCCAAACCATGTTGATAGCACCATCCAAGATTATTATATCCATATGAATTACCACTTCCGGCAGAACTTAAATATAAATTAAATGCTTTCTTTTCATCTTTAAGAATTTCTCTATCATCCATATAACAACATGCAAGATTATTTTGTCCAATAGAATTGCCACCATCTGCAGATTTTGTATACCACTCAATTGCTTTTTTAAAATCTTTTCTAATACCTATACCGTATTGATAACAAAATCCAAGATTATTTTGATCAATAAGATTACCACTTTCTGCAGATTTTAAATATCGTTCATATATAGTTTTATCATTGCTCGTATAATTTTTATAGTAACGCAAAAAATCATTTTGCTTAATAGATATATCAGCACTAAAAAATGATTTTGAATATAGTTCAAAAGCTTTCTTTTTATCTTTGACGACACCTATACCATTTTCAAAACAATGCCCAAGATATGCTTGTCCAGTTAAATTTCCTCCTTCAGTTGATTTTAAATAATATTCAAATGCCATTTTTTCATCTTTATCAACATATATACCATATTGATAAAATCGTCCGAGGCTACATTGAGCAAGAGGAGTTTCATTTTTAGCAGATTTCATATACCATCCAAAAGCCGCTTGATTATCTTTTTCTATACCATAACCTTCTTCGAAGCATTTACCAACAAAATATTGACCTAAACTAGTATTATTTTTAGCAACTTCTACATATAAAAAAAATGCTTTTTGCATATCTTCTTTAACTCCAATACCATAAAAATATAAATATGCCAAAGAAATTTTTCCTATAATCCAATTAGTTTTAATTAATTCAGAATGATCAAAATTATTTGATGTTTTTACTTTAAGAACTGATCGATTATAAAATTTACTTGCTAATCTATAATCGATATCTGTACCAATACCAAATTGATAAAAATAACCAATCAAACTTGTAAAATATAATTGATTTTGATGATTAATAATTTGATTGAATGTATCTAAAGGATTTTTATAATTGTCTTTAAAATATTGTCTCAACATATTAACTATATATACTGACTCATAATGAGTATTAAATAATTTAAAAAAATAATTAAATAAATTGAATATAAATTCGTCACCAGATAAGGTATTCCTAAAAGGAAGATGTAAAAATTCATTGAATGAAACTTATAAAATTGTTTGATAAAAGAATTAGTTATATTTCAAAAAAAAAAAGATTTCAAAGTTATTATTCATTAATGAGATTAATGAGGAAAAATACCTTCTTTTTGTGCTTCTTCAGATTCAAATTCTATATGATCGACTTTATCTTGAACATTAACCGTATGTCCAAAATCATTTATGAACTCTTTATTTAATTCTTTGAATTCGGTATATGCCATTTTTACTTTTATCTACAACTTTATACATACATTTATTCTTGATACGTACGTAGTTTAAGAAATTATCAAAAAAAATTTTTTTGGTAAATCGCATATAAATGCATGTACAACTGTAAAACGTTATACAAAAATCAATGGCCTGGAGTTACACGTAGTGTGGTATGTAGTACAAATTCCAACATTCTAGACGTTCTTGAATTTCTTGGTAATCGAAAGACCTAGGGTAATTGAAGAAGTAGATTAGTTATAACAGAAAAATCCTGAGATCATGCTATCTAATTATAATAAAGTTTCTCGATGTCCATCTTATTTTTAATTAAGAGCAATACTAAAATATAACATTATGTTAAATCACTGATTAGTTAAATATGGTGCGTTTTCTTGATATATTAATAAATGAAATGTATTTACTATTATGATCAATTTCAAATTGGGACCATGGTACTTATATAACGATGACGTGGGTAAAGTTACTCGTAAGATTATGCTTGAAGCTAACATTTGCTTGACTGAAATTAGCCCCTGAAATTAGGATCTTGCATGCATTATGTAGTAATTTTAGGCAGGTTTAACTTCGGGTGCTTAAATTTTTATCGCAGTGGATTTGTTGATACGCACGTATTCAACTTTTATTCGAGCTGTTCCAATTACAGTTAACTATAAACACTACACGAATTATAATTAAGAGGTAAATTTTTTGTTTAAGGCATAAAACAGTAAATTTAATATCGAAACTAATCATAAGTTCTAGAATACAATTTCCTTATATCTTGATTTTCATTTATTTATCATAAAGTTACAAGTACAATCAATGCAAATTCTTAAAAATTTAATAATCTCGCATAAACAATTTATTATTTTATTTAAGTTGTATACTGATTTCTTCTGTGTTTATAATCTTACTAGTAGTAAATGTGATTTGGATGTTTTTGTTCATTATTCGGTAGCGTTGGGATTAATTTTTCTGCTTCTAAAAATTGATTTTTAATCTTTTGCTCATCTTCATCTTTTGCATTTTCATAAGAGTAAAAACATAATATCCACGTTTCAATTTTCCATAAATGTCTCCGACAGAAGGTCGTTTTTGTGGATCATGATCCATACACTGTTTTGCAAGTTTAACATAACAATCTGGTGTTTCAAGGGTGAATCCAGGTCGCAATCCTCTACAGATATCCACTCCAAGTTTAGCATCAAATTTACGTCCATCAAAAGGCCTCTGTCCAGTTGATATCTCCGTCATAATAATTCCAAACCCGTAAACATCGGAGGCTTGAGTATATTTTTGACCAATAAAACTTCTGGGGCTACTTATGGTATGACACCATAAATACTATTCGAATTATTGTCATCGTATTTTTTTTTGACAATCCTAGATCTGAAATGAATGTTTCTATTTCAACTATATAATCACGTTTACTTTGTAATATATTACAACAATGAAAATCTCGCTTTATGAATCCGCATCAAAGCAGTATAGCAGGCTTTAATTTCGTCACATATTACACTGCATATACCATCGGACTTTAAACGAATCGGCAGCCATGAAAACGAATTGACAAAGGATATGACATATAAATTCTGAAACTACATCTTTCATTCTACCTAAAGTAAAAATAATTCGGAGAACGGAGGAATAATTCGGAAGTTAGCGACGAGGTGCACTTTTGGTTTTATAGGTTAAAGTAATTCAGTAATTGGCAAGGTAATTCGTACCTTGGCTAATAAGTACTGAGCTTTTTTTAAAACCTCGAAAATAGCGATTCAAACAAGAATACTTACAGTTAGGTTTTTAACATTTTTCTGAATATAGGTTATTCAACAAGTTTTTAAAAGCTACAATATATTAAATATAAAGCATACGTAGGATATGTATTATACGATTACATGCCTTGTTCTTTAGTTAATGGGGTTTTTTTTTATGCTGACTATACACTCCATATTCATGTATTGCCTATCGGTTTTTTTTTAATTCATTTATGTGATTCATTATTTAGCTTGTTATTAAACTGTGTATTTAGTTAGTAAGCGATTTGGGTAGTAAAATTATTTATACATATAATTAAGTTTAAAAACATTGTTTTTTTTTATTGAGCTTAACTGGCTACATATTTACCATAGCTATCAGAATTAAATTATTAAAAATCTAGTTTTTAAATTCAAATTTCTAGTTGAAATATATCTTTTGGTCTATAATTTTTAAATTTCGAACTTGTTTCTATTAGCAATCAGATTTCGTAACGTCATCAAATAATCTACTATAGATGCAGACATGTTGCCGTGATTAATTACGACCTACTTTAAATCAGATTTTTTATATTGAGGTAATTAGGTTACGACCTAATTACGACAATATTTCTGCATCTATATAATCTACCAACATTAGCCAATCAGAATGAAAGCCTGCTATGTTTATCAAATCCAAGTGATCGTCATAGTGCATACTTACCTAATTGGTAGTGCCCATGACGATCCACTTGAAACATGTGCGCCCGACCCCAAGAAGCCTCAATGTGGGACCCCACCACCCCCTCCAATTAAAGAAAGGTCGATCTGGACCAATCTGTTCGCACCACTACGACTGGGAATGGACGTTGACTCCACTTTACCTTACTTGGGTTAAGTGTGAGGCGATGTCAAGGGGGTGCGATTGTAATAATTATGTTGGGTTCTGGCCGGGACGAAGAGTACTGAAACATTCTCATCGGTTTTATGAAGAACGTGAGAAATGTTAAAGTAACGAAGGTTGTGTCTATGAAAACGTGAGAGGTTAGAAAAGCATGGTTGGAATTCGATGAGAACAATGAGAAGAGTCGTGGTATTTTACGTGCTCTTCTCATGGACAATTTGTTATAAAAAGGGTGGAATTTCCCCTTCTTGAAAGTAGTTCAGATAAATAGTTCAGACAGCTCTATAGTGCCATATAGTCCAATAAAGTCCCTATACAATAACAATAAAAAAATTATTAATAAAAACCCTTTTAAACCGTCCAATACAATATCACGCTCTTTAAAGGCCTATACTTATTTTGTAATGCTCCTTAACGATCGCCTTGACCTTGTGCCAAATCGTAAAACCGCCTCTACCATCTTTGAGGAACGTTACGTGGCATATTCGATTTTCAAGCGACAATTCGTCGCATTTGCCCCATCTCTGAACTCGCCCTATTAACAACTCACAATAATATTCTTAAGAAACATTTAGCTTATCTTGCCTGGAAAGTTTCAGAAAATTTAGCCTTAAATATTTAGAGTTTTTCGTTATTTTAACAGTGGCTTAGTAATTTTATATAAATTTACTAAGAAATACTTCAACAGTGGCTTATTTAAAATTTACTATGCGGACATCAGCTACAAGGTGATTTTATCACTCTAATGTAGCCCATGATGGGCCATGATCACAGTGTGATTCATATAATTAATTATTAGAAAAAAATTATATAAAGAAAATTAAAAATCAAAAAACTTGGTGTTTTTTTTGTTTAAGAAATAAACTTTGAATATTTGAAAAAAATATTAACAAGGATGTATTTGGATTACAAGAAATGAAAAACTTTTACTTTATGACGCAAAACAATTGGCTTTTAATAGGATGGTAAGGTCTTTCTACAGAGTATAAAAATAGCAAAGGCCTACTTTTATGACCATGCGAAAAATTTAATATATGGCAATGCTCGACTTAATCATATTAAAAGCCATGTGTAAGAAATAGTGTAAATTAACACTTGATGGCGCAACACAACTGGCCTTTAGTAAGAATGGCGTGTCTTTAAGCCACCCTTATGACAATGTGAAATTTTTCATATATGGCTACGCTCAATTTAGTATGGTGTCCCTATTGCAGTAATAAATTTATGCGTGAAAATTTATGTTGTAAACTTATGAGTATCTTGACGGAAAGATTTGAGAGTTAACCCAGTGACCATCATAATATCACATGACAATCATTTAGCATAAGAGTTAAGGTTATAGTTTGGCGTTGCTCCGGGGCTAGACCTTAAGTGTTTTTAATCTCAGATTTTGTCATTATTTAATTAAAAATAATATAATATTTAATTTAGAATTTTTTAGCTCTTAGTTTTCTAGATCTCAGGTCCAAGTAATGCTTTGGGGCTAGGTCATAAGTGCTTTTAATCTCAAATTATATTATTATTTATAGTTTTTTAGCTCTAA